ACATTAACTTTAATGGCATCCCAGTCTTAGTCCGTAGGGTTCAATATTGAGTTGGCTCCGCCCTTTGCCACTATAACAGCTTCAACTCTTCTGGGAAGGCGTCCACAAGGTTTAGGAGCGTGTCTATGGGAATGTTGGACCATTTGTGAGGTCAGGTACTGATGTTGGAGGAGAAGGCCGGGCTCACAAGCTCCGCTCTAATTCATCCCAAAGGTGTTCTATCGGGTTGAGGTAGGGTTGCCACCTGTCCAGGATTCACCCGGACAGTTCGGGTTCTGAATGCTGTGTTCGAGTTTCATGGCTGCTGAAACCCAGACACATGATATCAGGCAGACAGGGGCAACAAAAATTAAGATAGGGGCTACTGGCCCCCCACTAAAAATAGTCTCTACTGTGATATTTACATATTAATGGGTGATGCTATGTACATATGAATAAGCCACGATTCATTCTCCCAAAAAAATTTCCATGCATCGCTAGAGTGTTTGGGCTTCACTGGAAGAAAAGGTGGCAACCCTAGGTTGAGGTCAGGACTCTGTGCAGGCCAATCAAGTTCCTCCACCCCAAACTCACTCATCCATGTCTTTATGGACCTTGCTTTGTGCACTGGTGCGCAGTCATGTTGGAACAGGAAGGGGCCATCCCCAAACTGTTCCCACAAAGTTGGGAGCATGAAATTGTCCAAAATGTCTTGGTGTGCGGATGCCTTAAGAGTTCCCTTCACTGGAACTAAGGGGCCAAGCCCAACCCCTAAAAAACAACCCCGCACCATAATCCCCCCTCCACCAAACTTTACACTTAGCACAATGCAGTCAGGCAAGTACCGTTCTCCTGGCAACAGCCAAACCCAGACACGTCCATCGGATTGCCAGACAGAGAACACGTCTCCACTTCTCTAGAGTCCAGTGGCGGCGTGCTTTACACCACGGCATCCCACGCTTTGCATTGTACTTGGTGATGTAAGGCTTGGATGCAGCTGCTCGGCCATGGAAACCCATTCCATGAAGCTCTCTACACACTGTTGTTGTGCCAATCTGAAGGCCACACAAGGTTTGGAGGTCTGTAGTTATTGACTCTGCAGACAGTTGGCGACTTCTGCGTACTGTGCGCTTCAGCATGCGCTGACCATGCTCTGTCATTTTACGTGGCCTTACGTGGTCATTTTACTGTTGTTCACAGTTGCTTCCTGTAATGACCCGTGAGGCTATAACTGGACGCTCAACTGCGGAGTTACTGGTGTAATGACAGGGTTCAGTTTTGATTCCTTCCTTCACACTCCATTTAGCGTTTGATGGAGGGTTTGGAATCACTTCACATCATTCCCTTCCACTTGGGCAACTATGAGTTTAGTATCGGCAGAGGAGAAGGGGTAGGTGAGTGCTACAGGGTCTCCTGATTCCCCTGATCTAGTTTGGGTGAACTGAGTATTGCGAATCCCTCCAACACACCTGCTTCCACGGCGCAACAGGCCGGTAGTGTTTATAGGAGACGCAACACACAATTCACACTATGTCACTACAGCAGGTTCTAGTCACTCAGTTGTGTGGTTAAAGGTACTGATCCGATCCAGTCCCAGCAAGTGTGCGGGAAATGCTTCCTAGCAGTGTGTAACTCCCCTGGTAAAACTTCAACCTTCACAGCACACAGGTTTAACTACGACAGGTAGTAATCAGCATTGACCCTGGCTTGATAAAGAAGACATGATCTTCGAAACGCGTTGCCTAGACTACCACAAGCGTCCTATCCATTGCGGAGGGGAGGAGCTGGGTCCTGTACATGACGGACGTGAGGGGGCGGAGCTGATTGCCATCCTGGACGGCCCTGAAGGGGAGGAGCTAGCTGCCGAGCTGGACGGCCCTGAAGGGGAGGGGCTGGCTGCCGAGCTGGCCGTGCTCGGCCCCGCCAGGCAGCGCTGGACCGAGGACGGGTAAGTCTGTTACACTTCCACTTTGTTATAATACCGCTAACAGGTGACCGCGGAATATTTAGCAGCAAGGAATTGCAGGGAACAAATGAATCCAATGATCTAGAGGGGTGTCCCAATACTTTTGGTAATATAGCGTGTATGTGTAATATACAGGTGAAACTTGAATAATTAGAATATCGTGCAAAGTTCATTTATTTCACTAATGCAACTTAAAAGGTGAAACTAATATATGAGAGAGACTCATTACATGCAAAGCAAGATAGTTCAAGCCGTGATTTGTCATAATTGTGATGATTATGGCTTACAGCTCATGAAAACCCCAAGAACCCCAAATCCACAACCTCAAAAAAGTAGAATATTACATGCAATCAATAAAACAAGGATTGTACATAGAACAATATCGGACCTCTGAAAAGTACAAGCATGCATATGTACTCAGTACTTGGTTTGGGCCCCTTTTGCAGCACTTACTGCCATTACTTTTGCACGATATTCTAATTATTCGAGTTTCACCTGTATATATATGTATTAGGGATGCACTAAGTATTTGTGCAGGTACTCGTACTCGCCCAACTGCTCCGATACCAGAAGTTCCAGTCAGAGGCAGTGCCGTAGGGGAACATGGAGCCAGCTTCCCATTCGATCAGGAAGGTGGGCGTTGAGTAATGACCCGGCTTCCTGGTTGGTCAGGAAGTCGGCTCCATGCTCATTGGCCAGTAAGCAGGCTTCCCGGCCAATCAGCATCGAGCCGGCCGCATATCAAATCCGGAAGTTGGACGGTATGTCATTACCCACTACCCGGCTTCCTGATTGCCCGGGAAGCCTGCTCCATGCCGGTGGAAGCACTTGCGAGTACTGGTACTGGTATCGGCGAGTACCGAAAGCAAAGCATCGGTACTTGTACTCGACACTGAAAAGCCGGTATCGTGTGCATCCCTAATATACATATTATCATATTTTATTTATTTTTCTCTCCATATCTTCATGAAGAGCAACAGTGATACTAATGGACAGAAGTTTATCTCACCTTTTGTTCAACTTTTACATTTGTATCTGAAAGCTTTCAAAGGCATTTAAAGTGCACCTAAAGGCTAATAAAGCTCAGTGTATCTAATGCTTATTTTTTCCCGTGTCGTTCTGGATGAAGTGGGGATAGTGTAAAACCTCGTGTCAGGTTGTTATTGTTTGTATGGAGCAGTAATAATAAAGGCCTGAAGCCGCACTGTCCTACATACATTACATAACAACCATTTAATTACACCAACTTTATTTTGCCAAAATATAAAATACAAAAAAATATAATACTTAATAGACTCTCAAAAGAAACTTAAAAAACAAAAACGGAATGCACAAAAAAGAAAAATACCCAAAAGAGAATCAAAAACTAAATAGAAATGAAAATAAAGATAAAGAAACAGAATGGTTTTTGAGTGACTGCAGTAAATGAAATGTGATGGCTGCCTGTCATTGGATCGGTCGCCGTCAGTATTACGTCTCTAATATGGCACCTCGTCTGTCCGCAGGTGTAATCTGCCACCGCTGACCAGTGATTTTATCCCGGATGTGGGAACGAAGACCCAGCTGGTGACTGTGAATCCCTCAATAATAGATAAAAGGTAAAAAAATCAAATCATATAATATTTGTGAATCACATTAAAGTGGACCTGTCATTAATATTCACTATAGGCTGCATATGGGCATCACCAAATCACATTATTCCATTATATCTCCTGTAGTCTGAGCAGCCCAGATCACATGGCCTCTGGCTATCAGGAGCATTGTGGGTGTTTCATGGTATTAGAGACTGCAGAGAGAAGGTTGTTTTCCATCACACAGGCCCTGTCTGGCAGACTGAGATGATAAAGCAATGGGGCCAATCCTTCCCACTTCTGAATGAGATGGAGGGAAGGAAGCCATTAATTACATACCG